GCTCCTAGTAGCGATGCCAGGAGCCCCTAGTAGCGTCCTTGCTCCTACTTCGTTCTCTGACTGTACAGTGGTTACATTCTCAGTGCCAGGACCCATGTCACAAAGTTCACAGTTCGTTCCGTTGTGAAGATCTGCGCAAGTGCCTTAAAGCTCGGATGGAGGCCGTTGCTATTAGGCAACATCTCCAGTCGGTCAAAGTGTCGAGAAGCAAGGTAGCTTGCAAGGAGCAGTTGGGGTCGTTGAGGTCAATTGGTAACGCCGAGTGAAACTTGCTGATACTTTCTCTTATGATTTGAGGTTGGTTGACGCAGTGGAACGATGTGTCAGAAAAGGACACTTTCCTTGGACATGAGGTCTCTGCCATCCTAGGACTCTCCTGGGCAACATTGGTCGTTTCAGTCTTTGGAGACTCTGTAGTAAACAATAAGCTACTAGGAACAAGTGCATCGCTACTAGTAACAAGTGCCTTACTAGTAGTAACAATAAGCTACTAGGAACAAGTGCATCGCTACTAGGAACATGTCAATGTGACCTCCAGCCCAATGGCTTCAGTCCTTCAGCTCCTTGCTCCCCCAGTAGCGATGCCCTTTGTTACTAGTAGCTTCTTGTTACTAGTAATGCCAGGAGCCCCTAGTAGCGTCCTTGCTCCTAGTAGCGATGCCCTTTGCTCCTAGTAGCATCCTTACTACCTTCGAACCAAAAGACTGCAAGCACTGAGTCAGAAGCAAGTTCCATCACCGTTAGCACCGTCGTCACCTCGCAGCTTGTGTGAAATGCGCAGAGCTCCATTTGACGCTGGCAACAAGGCTAGACAGGGCTATCCGGGTAGGGTGATCAATGCCAGCTGTCCAAGAAAAGTCAAAGCTGAAGGATTTGAAGGTTGAACGGTTGGACAACAACAGAAACCAAAAGAGAACCCAAATGGAAAATGACCGTCATTTTACTGCTCTGTGCTATGGATTCAAACCTCCCCGTCTTAGGTTCCAACAGGAGAGTGTGCCAGGATAGACGCATGTGCAGGGCTTCCCACCTGGCTTTTGCACCCCCATCACGAATTCTCAGCAGATTCTCACGGTCTGAGCTTTGCCACAACATGACTTGAAGCAGCGTAAGACCTGTCTGTTCGTCTTGATATTTTGGTCACACAACTGATGGCAGTTCTCAGGCAGTGGCAGTTCTCACCGTACCAGCCGTCATTGCACTTGCAGGCCTTGAAAGCGGCTGTGAAAGTTCGAAAGCCCCAACCCTGCAGCACTGAGTGGCTGGGAAACACACTGCCGAGTACACCTTTAGGTAGCATGGTACTCAAACTACTATCTGTCCCAAAGGATCTAGGAACCAAATCATGAGTGCGAGCGCTTTTTTCTGCGTCCTGTTCGCTAGGAGCTTCCTATTGCTAGTAGCGAACTAGTCGCCCTTACTTCATTAAGTTCAATTAAGTAGGGAGGGGGGAGCGGGCTCCAAAAACAAAGAACAAGAAAAAAAGAAAGAAAGAATAGCAGCTTTATTGTTCCTAGTAGTAAGGCCAGGAGCCCCTAGTAGCGTCCTTGCTCCTAGTAGCGATTTTGCTCATAGTAGCGTCCCTGCTGTGGATGCTCTGCAGCTCTGCATGACGCATTCATCATTGTAACCGTCACTCGTCTGAGGAAAGTGCAACAGCTGACTGAGCCATCTCTCCAGCCTCATGGTGTGGTTGTTTCTTTCAACATGTTCTCTCCATGTCAAAGCAACATCTTAGCGAAAAAGAATGGTTGGAGGCCATCGCTCTTACTATGTTGGAGGCCATCGGTACTAGGTTGAGCCAATCGCAAATCTCTTAGCAAAAACAGAAGTCCTCTAGGTCACGAGCCACTGCTGCCATGTCCGCGTTGAGCACGTTCGAGATCTCGCAGCGGAAGAGTTTGGTTTTTGAAGCATGTACGGAGCTAGCGAGTCATCACCATTCCTTACCGTCTTACCTCCTTACCCTTACAAACACTTGCAAAAACCATTGACACTAGATCAAATCGATGCGAATCTCCTTACAAATAGACTAGATCTCCACATGGTTGAGAGATCTTCCAATCCAATGTGCTTGCAGCTACGCAATGCTTCGCATCTCAAACAATGTACAGCTACCAAAGGCTATTCTGGGCAGCGGGACACAATGACCTTGTCCACACTCTGGGCCTGATGGGCTTGTTTTCCAAATTCTCGTCCAGTATCAAGTTCAGTTCCAGTGGCACATCAAATACGTTTGTGCAAACAAAGGTGCAGTTTTGATTGCATCAAGAACTCAAAAGATCTCATCGACTCATCTCTCTATATTATCTATAACTGGCTGTGCAAGCGCAGTATTGGCATGAGAGTATCCAGGGAACAATTTTTCTTCGGTCGCAGCATGAAGAAGTATCAGTTTTCTCGACCTGTCTCATGAATTGGCTGTTGTTTGCGGGCGGTGTTGCCAGCAGCATGGGATAAGTAAGAAGGTTTCAATTGAAAGGGGCCTGCTATGGGGTAGCGAAGTCCATCATTTAAGCCGATTCCTGGATAAGCCTAATGATGCCTAATGACTTCAAGTCGTTTTGTGAAAAATCCGGCTTGAGGCCACCCACACGGCTGCACCAGGCGTTTGGTCAAGTTGACCTCGCACTGCTGCGATCCAAAGAAGACCTGACACAAACATGCAGCTCGATGGAGACACACGAAGCTGCTACCCTTGCGGATGCAGTCCGTGGTGGTAGCCTTACTAGTACGGTACGTACCCAGAAATACTTAAAGCAGCGCGATCTCTTTGAAGGCTCAAGAGACTGTTGGACACACAACCAACAGCCTCAAGTGTCCTTGAGAAATGCATCTTGATGCAGGCATTATTCTAACAAATATCTCCAAAAAAGGCATGTGGGTCCATGTAGACGTGGTCATGAAGTTCCCTCACTCTCCCCGTCTCACAAAGCCCACTCCTTTTCACCTCTCGTTTCGGTTTCCGCCTCCGCGTCGGCTTTGGATCCATCCCAACCGGCCACGATGATGCGAACCGTCGGTGCCTGCGTGGCACTTGTTACTACTAGCGTGGCACTTGTTACTACTAGTAAGGCACTTGTTACTACTAGCGATGCACTTGTTTCTACTAGCTTATTGTTACTACTAGCG